ATCCCCAGCTTCTCTGGGAACCTGTCCCAGTGCTCCCACCCTCTGCGGGAAGAATTCCTTCCCTGTGTCCAGTCTAAGTCCCGAGCTTCTGCCGTGTTGAGATTGCCGCAACTGAAACCAGTAGCTGCTCCTCAAAGTTATCCCTTTGAATCCGAAAATGGGAGTGGTTCTGCTTATCCTTCCCTTGGACACTAACGGAATGAGTCTTTTGGCTGTCGGGCCTGTGAAAACGGGGTACAACATCCCCTCTGCTCCGTGAGGTTGACGCTGCGGCAGCATCTCTCCATTCTGGGGCTTCCTGAAAATCCCCGAAAGCTTTCCATCTTCGGGAATGGCCAGGCAGGGTGTGATTGGCAGCGTCGCTTCTCCCGTCCATCAGAGAAGGGACTCTGAGGTCTCCCCGGAGCTTCCCTTCTCCAGGCTGAACCCCCCAACTCCCCCAGCCTGTCCCCAGGGCAGAGGGGCTCCAGCCCTCGGAGCATCTCCGGGGCCTCCTCTGGCCTCGCTCCAACAGCTCCGTGTCCTCCTGCTGTTGGGGCCCAGAGCTGGAGCAGAACTGCAGGGGGGTCTCCCCAGAGCGGAGCAGAGGGGCAGAATCCCCTCCCTCGCCCCCCTGGCCACGCTGCTCTGGATCCAGCCCGGGATGGGGTTGGCTTTCCGGGCTGCCAGCACACACAAATCCGGGGATAGCTGGCCGCGTGTGGATGATCTCCCCGACTCGTGTCCTGTTCCCCCTTCCCAGGGTGCTCAACTACTGCCGTGTGTTCACCGAGCTGTGCGAGACCTTCCTGGATAAAATCGTCTGCACGCCGGGCCAGGGGCTGGGCGACCTGCGGACGCTGGAGCTGCTCCTCATCTGCGCCGGGCACCCCCAGTACGAGGTGAGCGAGGGTCAACCGGCTTCCCCGTGCCGAATCCTGCTCATCCAGAGGCAAATCAGGGGGGAAAACCCCCTTTTTCTTCTATTGCCACGTGGTTGGGAAGCTTCGGGCCGCGTGAGCTGCCGGTCTGGAGACGCCGGCTCCGCGTCGGCGACACGGGATCGGGCTTAGCTTCCCTTTCCTGGCGCCCCGGGGGTGTGAGACGGGGCGTGTGGCTCGGAA